ATAACTTTTCCCGGTCTCGAGATGAAAAATCGGTACAGACGAACACACAGACACACACACACACACACACAGACAACCTCTCGTCAATATGCGTTTTCTGCATTGCATAGCTGCAAACACACACACACACACACAGACAACCTCTCGTCAATATGCGTTTTTTGCATTGCATAACTGCAAAAAAAAAGCGTAAAAACCAGTACTAGTGACAAAATATAGGCAAAAAGTCAAACTCCCCTCCCTATTCAGCTTGCTTCAAACACACACACAGACAACCTCTCGTCAATATGCGTTTTTCGCATTGCATCTAAAAAACGCATACGCACACACAGACACATACACACACAGACAACCTCTCGTCAATATGCGTTTTTCGCATTGCATTGCTGCAAAAAACGCATAAAAACACACAGACAACCTCTCGTCAATATGCGTTTTTTGCATTGCATTGCTGCAAAAAACGCATAAAAAGTAGTTCTGAAATTTTCCGAAAATTAATTTTGAGAATTCTTGCCAGTCATTTTCAGGATGCAACTGTTATTTTGTTCTTTCAAGCTGGTTTATCAAAGAAATATAAGCAGCAAATCCTGGATGTTATTAGCCGAGGAGCTCGAATTGGATAACTTCTTTGTGTTTAAAAAGCAAGCTGCGAAATGGATGTTTTTTTTTTGAAGATTTTTTGCGCACATTTTGTCAATCTTTTCCAATTACTTAATCTGTTTCGTTAGTTAATTTATTTGAGCTTTCGCTGTCTTAAGCGTCCATTTTTTTTCCCTCTAGATTATGATGATTTTTTTTTTCCTACAGCGATTTCTAAGGTTGACTTGCTAGTGCCTAACCAGAGCAGTGGATTTCTACTGACTGCTATAGAGGATATTGCGAATTAAATTTCAGACATTCTTTAAGCCTGCAGCGGATTACGGATAGCCTAATACGGTGGAGGTAGGAAGTTCAACCAAGTTGTAAGTATTTCAGGAAAAAAAGACGGAACTAAAGATAAGGCGTATTTCTTGTGAAATCGACCTCTTCGCACCTCCATTCTGGTGGATCTTGCAAAGAACTGTTGAATGGTCGAGAATCCCTGTCAGAGATTCGGTCTCCGATGGAAACGTCGCTTCCCGACTTTCAGCTGGAATGTCATTGAAAGATGACTCAAATTTTATTTTATTTTTGTGTTTTATAATTCCGATTGGAGAGGGAGGGAGGAGGGAGACAGGTAGACAAGGTGAAGACTTCGCCATTATACGAGAAATACATTCATCCATCAAACGGGTTTTGTACTAATGGCATGAATATGCATATCTTAGTAAGTTTCTGAAATTTTTTGGATTGTTTTGAGTCCATTTACACTTTGTTTTACATTCAGTTTGTGTACTCTTTTAATTGGTCGCTCGTTATCATTTTTTTTTTTTTTTAAATTTCTACTCTTTCTGAGATTATTGTTACGAGCTTCGTCGTGGAATATTGTGATGATCAGTTGCCAAAGTACGTCTTTTTTTCTGCGCTGTTATTGATGATGTTTGCTTGCTTGTATTATATTATCTCTCAGATCTTCTATTGCTTTACGGGTTATTGGCAATACATGTGGATTTTCGTTCTTTTTTTTTTTGTTTGTGATCACTGATTTCACTGCCAATTATTTCGATATTATTTTTTTTTTGTCAGTTATTAGTTTTTGTTTATGTTTTTTTTGTTTATTTTTTTGTCAGTTATCATTATCTCCCTATCAATGATATTATTTTCATGTCATTCATTACTTTTCTTGTCTGTTTTAGTTATTACAATGATAATGGGCTTATATTGATTTTTTTTTAAATTCTTTTATTATATCGGCATGATTGATTTGTTCGAGTTTTAACTATATTATTGGTCTTGATATTTATGGGAACCCAAAGGAGACGAAAGGAACACTAAGATCGCCAGCAGGCTGACGACCAAATTAGTGCAGCATTAGTCAAAACAATCTGAAAAGTTGCCAGGGAAATAGACGGGGAAAAAGGTAGTAAATCGTATCTAAACGTACTTCAGGTATCAGTATTTAACGTATCGCTAAATCTGTTTACTACTAAAAGTGACAGAATTTTGAATATTATTGATGTTTTGGTATTGGTAATGATAGAGTTGATAATTGAGATAATTTATTGCACATTTGATATTATGGTTATCATTGATATTATATAAACAGTATTATTTTTGATATTATTTTTCTCCCTGCTTGATATTATATTAATAGTTCTCATGTTTTTGACGTTTTACTAGTGGTTTTTTGATATCATCATTTGTACTCAGTTTTTGATATTATATTATTATCGATATTATATTTTCAGTATATTATTTCCACCTGATTTTTGATGTTACATTATCAGTATTGTATTGAATGTTACACGATATTAGCAGTATTGTATTGATATCATTATCACCAATGTTTATGATATTATTTATGATTTTTTGCTTGCTTGCCTATCTCCAATTATGTTTGTTTGTGGTATTCATCTTTACTCTCTTTCCGTTTCACTTTTCATGTTCTCATGAAGTTTTGTAAC